AGAGGTATCATCTTCATCAAGGCGTAGAGGGTTCCAAAAGGCGCGAAGTCATTTTGAAGACCACTCGATCGCGGGGAGTGTCTTTAAGTCAGATCCACGTAACATTAGTAATAGAGAGACGTGAAAGCTTACGATGAATTCGCTAGTTTACGCTAAAACGACGCTTAATACTCTCCCAAATTGTAGAGATGGAACTGCACCCTTGAAGCAAAGGCGAGGAAACGGACTCAAGGCTGTGCTCATTCCGATAAGCAAATGAAAAAATTCGGCAAAAATGTATACTAGTAAGTAAAGTGAAGATTCTCTTTTACAGCCGTTACAAACTCCACCATGCGCTTTGGCTGTTTTCAGTGGCCCTGTACCAGAAGTAACTAGCACCAAGCCAATCGATCTCAGAAAGCGAAAGTATGACTTCATAAGTAAATCAATCGACGAGTGGCTTCTGCCAACGGAGAATTATCCCATACAGGGTGATGTCAGTTACAAGGAAAGTTTGTACGGTGACAGCAAATTGTACACTTTCGCCAATGTGAGTTACTTATTTGGTATTGTTGTTTCTGTCCACATGAAAAGAAACAATCTGTTTTCAGCTGGCCTATGATAAGATTTACGAAGTCGGTTGCAATTATGAAGAATGTGGCACTGGAAGTAACATCCACGCTTCGCTTATTTGTGTCTACAATAAAAAGTAAGAAACATATGCATAGTTTCTGAGGAACGTTGTCCATTGTTCGCATATTCTCTTTCCAGGAGTTCCTGACCACGCACCTCTGTACCAAGTGGGAGACAAGGACCCAGATCATGCGGGCTGCAACAAGGATAACACCGTCTGCCAATTTCTTGGTAAACCAGAGGCCACATGCGATGACCTTCTCTGCAAACTACCCAACGTGGTTTCGAGCTTCCTCTAATTTCTCGTCTTCTTTATCAAAACTTAGAAATAAATTTTCTCAATAAGAAATAAATTTTCTCAATGCACTTTCCATACAGTGTGAGACAGAGAATTCAGCAAAACACAACAACTTTTTGGATGTGTAGCATATGCGAGCAAATGTGAACGCTAAATTATTCAATATACAGAGCAGTGGGCTTCCACAAAATCAGCTCGATATCACATCAGATATTTATGTCATAAAAGGAATAAATCGAAAGCCACGTTCGTATCGTTTATCCGCCATCGATCAATCTCTCTTTTTTGAGCCATGTCACTCTACTCCCATTTGAAATAGTACTTGTGTTAAAGTGCCTGGTGGTCGCTTACTTCTTTTCCTTTGGCGTTCGACTCCAATTCTCCTGGTTGCCACGCGGAATTCGTCCACCTGAGTAGATCCTATGAAGAGTCGATTAGACAGAGAATACCACACGAAACACTCGAGGTCGGGCGACCGTCCAGGCACAAACCTCAAACTTGGGTAATTAAACATTTATCTCGATACGAAAATCTAGACACGAAACAATATACGATCAAATCAATTACATATACTATGCACACTATACGCGCTTCAGTGATGAATACCAGTAGGAAATAGTAAGTGCAAATAGGTAGTACCCATAGGAAATGCTAGTGAAACAACTAGGAACGTTAAAGTGAGCGAGCATGCAGATATGAGAGCAACTATTGATACCAGAACATCGGCTTCAATGATGAGTATTACATGATGATGACATTAAATGAGTATTACGAAATGATGCGAGGAAAAGCAATCATATTTTTTGACGTAGAGCAAGTAGAACTAAATCATCAAAATGGAACTACAACATCTGACATTACCTTATCTGATAGGTCATGAACATCATAACTAGTTTCTTCAAATTGCATGAGGTACGAGCGAATGAGTATATGAGAAGATAAGGATCTTCAAGTTGGACGAAACGTGAGCAGATAACAGGATGGATACAAGTCAGAAGTAGAAACTGGGACCGCCGTCTCCTACGAGGGATGAATCCATACTGAGAATAGGGTGCCGCGGACAATTGCGAAATATATTTCAAATTGTCGTAGAGTCTTCGCGCCCCGCGCTTCGTTGCGGGACCCCCCCGCTGCGCCTAATTGTGCGTCCTTCCAATCAGCATCGGTGCTTCTTGAGCACACTCCCCGCCAGCCGCGGGACAGTGCATCCTCCAATCGTCGATGATCGCCTGAAGTGCTGCGCGTTCCTCTGGTAGATAGCAAAGTGCTGTGTTATGATTAGACATGCGACAATAGAAGCATTTTGCCGCATCACGGGAGCACGGATTTTCGTGGCATCTTTGTAGGCAAATCTTGCAGAGCTTCTTATGACGTAGATCTCTCATTCTGTTTTCCACAGTAGTTACGACTGGACACGCGTCAGCCGTATGCGTGCCTACAGCATCGCAGAAGGGACAAATTCTATTTCCCACGCGTGTGT